CCCCTGACCCCTGCCTGGATCCCCTACTACGCCCACCGCACGCAGCATCGCCTGCACGCTGCAGCTGCTGCTTTTCTTCTTCATCGCGATCTTTGCGCTGCACCCCCACGAGTACCTGGCGGAGCACGACCCCACCGCCCTCCACTTCTTTAAGATGCCGGTGCTCTTTCTGATGCTCATCACCGTGCTCAACGACGGCACCCTCATCACCGTGGCCTACGACAACGTCAACCCCAGCAAGGTCCCCGAGAAGTGGCACCTCAAGGCGCTCTGGTGCGCCGCCTCGGCTCTCGGCGCCCCCGCCGCTACGTTGCAGGCGTCTGGACGGGGCGCACGGCTGCTGCTGGAGCTCCTGCGCAGCCTGGAGCATTTGAGTGACTTGTGGGTGGATCCAGTGGCTGCAAGGCTGACGCAACCCTTCTCAACCGTACCTGGAAATCTTAGCTCCAACAGCTTGCGCTGACCCGGCCTTGATCTCGGCTCCCCGCTCTTGCCCATGCAACGCCCGCCAACATGTGTGCAGGGCCGTCTCGACCGTGCTGTCCATCACCGCGCTGCTGTCGTCCCTTCTGCTGCTGTGGGCCGCACTCGACTCCTGGAACCCCCACGGCCTCTTCCACAAGCTGGGCCTGCCCGGGATGCAGTTTGACCAGATCGTCACCATGATCTACCTCAAGGTGCGCTCGACCGCCACTGCTTTGACCAGGTTTGACCGACCGTGCTGCATGTTCCTCGCATGTATGTTGTGCTGCAGGTCTTTCAATCGGCTTGCCATGAGCTGTCCTGCTACTATAGCATGTGTGCCTGCATCTAAGGCACCCTCTTCTCCCCCCCAACCCCGCCTGACCTGCCATGCAGGTCTCCCTGTCCGACTTCCTGACCCTCTTCAGCGCCCGCACCCACAACGGCTTCTTCTGGACCTCCGTCCCCAGCTGGATGCTGCTCACGGGGGCCACCATCTCAATGGGCATCTCCACCCTCATTGCCTGCATGTGGCCGCCGGGCGTGGCCACGTTCTGGACCGACGGGATCCCCTGCCGCGGCCTGGCGCTGGGGGAGTACAAGCTCTGGGCCCTGTGGGTGTGGATCTACTGCATTGTCTGGTGGTGGATCCAGGACCTCTGCAAGGTGGGGCTCGTTTACTTGGGGGTGGGGTGGAAGCGTTGATGATTCCGCTTGCACGGTGTGATTGGTCTGCACGTTTGACTCATTGACAGGATTCTCTGGCACGCATGCGTGGGGGATTATGACTGCCGCCTTCAAACCCAGCACTCATGCTGTCAGGTTCCGCACACACCTGAGATGAAAGCGTCAGTACCCGCACCTGAACGATGGACGATGCGCGCTGTTTGGACCCTGCTGGGCAACCAACCCAGGTGGGCGCCTACTGGGTCATCCGCCGCTACAACCTGTTCGGCGTCAACACCGCCACCCTGGTCAACATGCGCGACAAGACCACATTCGGCGACAAGGACTCCCTGGCGCGCATGTCGGCCGGCATGGTCGAGGGGAAGCTGCTGGAGAAGCAGGTGGGCATGGCCCACCATGAGTCATTCTTTGCTTGCTGAGATTCCTCGGGTTGCCCGGGCTGTGCTAGTACCTGGAAAATTGTTGCGTGCCTGCTAATTGAGGTACCCGTGTCAATCAATCGCTCTCCTGATCTCGCAGCACCCTCCGCAAAACCCTCCTCCCTGCCACCACCCACCATTCATCCGCCGCACTTGCAGGTCGAGCGGGCCGCCGACACCGTCGCCCGCGTCGCGCGCGCCTCCAACGACCCCGCCATCCGCCGCGCCAGCCAGGGCATCGACGTCGTCCGTACCAGCGTTCGCGTCGCGCGCGACAGCCTCGGCGCCACGACTGGCGCGGCCAAGGACCCGGAGACCGGCGCGGCCACCAGTGCGGCCGCGAGCCTCGGGCGCATGCAGGCGACGGTGGCCCAGATTGAGAGGGCGCTGGAGGCGGCGCCCCCCGCGGAGCGCGAGCTGATCCAGATTCAGCTCGACGCGGTCCGCGCGACCGCGGAGCGCCTGGCCGCAATCGACCGGCAGATGCGCGCGGAGCGGCGCTGAGGGGCGGAGGTGGCCGGGACGCGGTGGGGGAGGCGGCTGCACAGCCACTCGTTGACGGAGGCCGTATTTAGTATTCACACCAGACCAATGCTGGAGGGCGGTCGCGGGAAGGCTGCCTCGTGTTGTGCCTTTCTTGCCTGCAGGGGGGGAGAGCATTCTGGGGCTCCACACACACAACACCAACCAACGACAACCCCATTTGATCCGCATCTGATCGCTTTGCTTTGAAGTCCAAGGCAGCTCAAGGGATCGGTGCATGACCACGCGTTGCCTTCCTGTGCAGTGCAGCATCTAGTAAGGGCTGAGCCCCGTTTTTGGCACCCCTCCTGCACAGTCTTGTCCCCTGCAACTTTGTGCGCGCAGCGAGCCAAGGGCGAGGCGAGCACACGACCCAACCTCGTCAAGCCACTGCGGCTGTGAATCAACTTGCGCTGCCGCACCACGCCATTGCAAGAGAGTGACTGATACTTTTGGGAAGCCGAGTGTGAGGGATGCATCCGCGGGAGCGCCGTGAGCTATGCAAGGAGGGGGCAAATGAACTGTTTGCTGGTGTACGACTCCCGATTCTACATTGTGCTGTCTGCCTGCTGCTGCAGCCGTGCGGCCCAGCCACGGCGCGTGCTTTGTGCAACCGACTCGTGTGGCCCCCGCTGCACGCGGCCTGCTACAGCTTGCATGAGCGTATGGCAGTTGCAGCACCTCGCCTTTTGCACCGAGCCCTTTGGCTCATGCATGCTTGCATCCGAGGCTCTCTGGAGGTGCCCACGCACGCGACTGCACCTGGGCCCGCTCGCACCGCAGTGGGGCAGCCATGGCCCCTGGTAATTTGTCCCTGATTTTGTTTTTCAGATGCACTGAAGGTATGGCAGCACCCAGTGGCTGGGCATACGGGCCGGCGGCAAAGGTGGCTGCGCATTGTGCGGGTACCTCGCTGCCGCCGCACTGCACATGTTGGCAAGTGCATCACACATTGACCGCACTAACACAACAATTGGAACTGCAATGTGACGGAAGTGGTTTGGACAAACTCCACTGGGCAATAACCTTGTGCTGTGCATGACCGCTGGGTGCCAAAACTCTGCCTGAGTCAGCACTGTGATACTGCATGCTTCCCAAAGGCACCCTGATAGCTCGCAAGTAGCGGCTTCGCTGCTTGAAGATTGCTATCCATGGCTTGACTCAATATCACTGGCGCACCCAACGAAGCTTTAGACGATCTCAGCACTCTGATCACTTTTTTCGGTGTTTCTCGTCTGGTATTGCTGCCAATAATGATCCAACATGTGGTTACAACAACGCTGGTCGCCGCGCTGTCGGCGGCGCTGCTGCTGCTGGCCAAGCGGCGCCGCGTCAAGCGCCACCTGGACCGGCTGCCGCTCCTGCAGCTGGGCCCCAACAGACTTGGGGTCAGCGCAGTGATCTCGCCCGTCGGCGCCAGCATAGTCAAACTGATCGTCCCCGCCGCGGACGGCACAACAATTGACGTCGTCCTGGGCTATGAGCGAGCGTCATCCTATGCGGTGGGCCCCAATCAGTTGGGTTGGGGCGCGGTGGTGGGGGCGGGGCTGGGCAGAAGGCGGCACCGTGGGACGGCGACAGCCCGGGCTGCCGCAGCGGCTGCTCGCACTTTGGGTGCGCGGCAGCCAGCGCAGGCGCCAGTTGGACCGCAACACACAGTCATGCGACGGCATCGCTTCAGAACAGTGACCACCCTCCACGCATGTGGCGGTGCGTCCATGACAGTGCAATCCGCCCCACCGATCACCTTGCCTCCCATAACCCTGGATCCTGCCCCGCGGCAACTTTCTGCACCACCCCCTAGCTGCTGGAGAGTAACCCATACTTTGGCGCGATCGTCGGCCGCTGCGCCAATCGCATTGCAAAGGCAAGACACCCCTCCGCCAAGGACACCCCCGCCCGCTCCCAGCCGCGGCACAGGTCACGCGCCCCCAGCCCGCGCCGTGCGCGGCGCCCGGGCGCTGACGCGTTCGTGGCCGCGCCCGCAGTGCTGCAGACCGTCCTCTGCGTTTGCCGCAGCGCTCAGCGCGCGCGCCGTGCCCCGCCGCGCCCTCGAAACCTCCCAGGGGAGGTTTGTGCTGGATGGAGAGGAGTACCATCTGGCGGTCAACAACGGCCCTAACGCCCTGCACGGTCAGCGTCCTCTCACCCACACCCACACTCACACCCCCAGCCAGGCCCCAGCAACAGCATCTGCCCCGGCGCAGCGGAGCCCCGCGGCGGACGCTCTGCGCGACCCCGCCCGCGCCGCGCAGAGCGCAGGCTGCGCCCGCGCACCCCCAGCCTCGGCGTCGCCTCGCCGCCCGCAGCTCGCCGCCGCGGCCGGCGCAGCAGCGCGCACGTCCTCGCCGCAGCGGGACTCCCCTGCCCTTGATCCTCTTGCCCTGGGAAAACTCTCCTAGGTGCCTGCTGCTGTCACTCAAACAAACCCCTCCACATTCCACACCCCCAGGCGGCCCGCAGGGATTCCACCGGCGCGTCTGGGATGCGGAAAACGTGGACACTGCAGAGGGCGAGGCGGTGGTGTGCACCTACACCAGCAGCGATGGGGAGGAGGTGCGGGG